TATTTATTCTTTGATAATGATGCCAATACCAATGTTCGCTGGTCGACTCTTCTTCTTTTTTTCTTTTTCGAATACAACAACACGAAAATCGTAAGCTCATATGCATTGAGCATTGTCTCTTTCCCTCTCTCTCTCTCTCTCTCTCTCTCTTTTTTTCCTGTTTTTTGTTCTCTTTCTCTTTTCTCTCATTTGTGTTGTTGTTTTAAAAACAGTGACATGTTCGACCTCTCGTTCTCTCCTTTTATTATCATATATCACATATATATATATACGTGCGCATTCGAGATAGTAAACCAAGAAACAAGCAAAGTTTGGTGATTTTTTTCGTTTTTTTTCTCTTTTCGGTTTTTTTCTTCATCTATTTTGCGCTCTCATTCTTGTTTATTAAACGTTAATTTGATTTCATATATCCTATTATTCTCTACTATCCACTATCTCTTTTCTTTTCGCTTTTTCTTGTTCGCTCTCTCTTTCTCTTTCTCTCTATATCTTTATTTATTTCTTCTACTGCTGTAGTTTGTCTTCATTCTTATGTATTTATGTTAAAAAAAGGAAACCAGTTCGATGTGTGTTTGTGCTTATTGAAGAAAGAGAAAAGTTATATTTAAAAAAAAAAAAGAAGAAGACGAAGAGGATGAGCTTATATTGGCTTTTTTCTTTTTCTTTTTGAAAACTTTTAATTCATAACAAACCAAAAACAAAACAGAAAGAACTATTTTTATGAAAGTGTTGACATCTGGTTAGTAGATAAAAATAATTCTATTTGTTTGTTGTACAAAATAAAATTTTACTTGAAAAAATGGTAAATTATTTTCATTTATGTGACAAATAGATCAGTGAAAAAACAAACTAACAAAAATGTTTTCATACTTTTCTCATTTTTAAATAAATATCGAGTTTGATGAAGAATTTGATTATTATTTTATGTGATATTCTTGACTTCTGCACAATACATATTTGTATAAAAGAAAAAAAATACATATAATGAAATAAAAATTTCATATGAGTATACAGATGATAGAAATTATTATAAGAATAAGAAAATTATTGTGAGAAATACGATTGAAAAATAATTAATAGAACAACCTTTTTCTTTTGTAATATCATATTTAATATATTGTGATGCTTGATTATAATAAATAAGGATAAAAACAAAACAGAATTTCATTTTTGGTATTTTTAATAGTTCTTATCAGAAAGAAAAAACAATGTTGAATTACTTCTGAGTACAGTTCTTTTTTGCATTATATGTAATTTTTATTGAATTTCAAATTCTCTTTTTTTTTGTTATTCTTATTTTAATAAATATTATTCATGCTAATAATCATCTAATAAGTCTTAAGAATGGATGAATAATCAAAAAGGATTTATTTTGACAATTCTATTTAATATACTGAAATTTTATAGATCAATTAAAAGAGGAAGGTTTCTCAATAACCTAAACATGATAGTTTTTTAAGTCTTAGAAGATTGTGCCGAAAATTGATTTAGAAGAATATCATTTTAAAGAGCACAAAATCGTGAATAAAACGATGGGTTGTAGCATTTCTTATGGCTTTTCATTAAAAAGTTATAATCATTACCAGAAAAAAAAAAAAAAAAAAAAAAAAACTTTCCTCTCATAGTTCATCTATGAAAATTTTGATATGGAATTCATCTGATAGAGAACTTCATGGTCTACACCAAACAATATTTGGATTTGAGTCAAATACTTGGTATCGTAGAAGAAAAAAAAAGTAAAAAATACATTGATCTTATATTTTTGAGTAGTATCTTATTTTCTTTATTTGCCGAAAATCGATGATCAATGTTATTAATACATTATGTTTAACGTTGAAAAACGAAATTGTTTCTTAAGTCGATTGAAAATATATTTTTAAAAGAAAAATAAAATTGAATTTAATCTAGATGTTAAAATATTTATTTGGTCATCGTTCATCTTATTTAAATGTAGAAATGATTGATAAAGTTCAATCATTATGTCGTTCAATTGAAAATAAAATTGATCGAAATGATCTTCATCAACAAATTGTTCAATTATTTAATTGTTTATTAAATTCTCAATCAAATAAATCTTCTCGAAATATTCTACAAGAACAAATGAATTTTTCATTAAATAAAGATTTATCTCAAACTCATGCACAAGGTGTTTTTATTGATTATGGTCAAATAAATAAAGCTGGACAATTAGTTGCTATATATCCTGGAACAATATATCGTCGTCATATTGATCCTCTTCTTTTACCATCAATACGAAATACATTTTTACTTTCACGTAAAGATGATTTAATTATTGATGGACGTGATCAAGGTTTATCACGTTCAATTTATTTATCATGTCATTCTCGATATCCTTTATATGATCGAACATGGCTTTTAAAAGATATTTATTTACATAAAAATCCTTTAACACTTGGACATTATATAAATCATTTTCCATTTTATGGATTACCAAATGTAACTTATTATGAATTTGATTTTCATTTTAATGATAATGAATATGATTTGTATCGTTTTGTACCAAATGTTCGATATGCAGATATAGATAATGGAGAAAAAGGAATGCCATCCACTGTACTCATTTCTTTAAGACCAATTAAACAGGGTGAAGAACTTTTTTCATGTTATTTAAATGTTATTCAACAAGAAAAAAGATCTTAGTTAAGATTTAAAAACAAATAAACATCTTTTATATGATGTTTATTTTTTATTTTTTTTTGTTTTTTTTAAGATTTATAAAATGGATCGTTATCGCATTTTAATTACATCTGAAATAAGTTGTTCACCTGTTTGTTCATCGACATAATTTGTATGCAGAGTTAAAAAATGTATTATAAAAAAGAAATTTTAATATTGTTCTTGAATAAATTTCTAATCCATATGGAGCACGTCAATCATATTAGTTAACATTTATTTGTGACGAACGTTAATCTTAATATAATGAACTTCAACACATAGGAGATTTTATTGTTAAAGAAATTCTTGAAGTCATCAAAATTATTGTAGGTAAATGTTCTTAATATATCTAATTAATAATTGACAATGTCATTTTCAAAACAAAATATTATTATTTTATTGAAAATGAAAAAAAGACTTAACAATTGATAATCATATTATTGTCACCATTAATTAAAATGACAGTAGTTTGATTTTACAAGTGTTATGTTTGATGGTAAACGACATCTTAATATATGCAAATTTTATTGATTGACTTAATTATTTTAAGTATTTTGTGTTTTAGAAAGAGAAAGTTCAAAGAACAAGTTTTATTTGTTTTTATACTTGGTTACATTTTTAAATTTAATAAAAAACAATCATATTTATCCTACTTTATTGTGATAGTGCACTTTTTCTATCTTAAAAAATATTTTTAAGAATTAATTTAAGTACAGATATTATGTGAGATATAAAATATCTGAGTG